CGCACTTATGCGTGTCTGGATTCTTCGCCATTATTGCATCCTTGATATCTCCCACCGAATGATCCGCATCAATGTCCGCAGCGCATTACCCCATCTTTAGATTTTTCAAGCGTACTTAAGCGGACATGGTGGTGATGCAGCATGGTAAGACTCCACGTCGCTGGTAAAATTCTGTTCGAATGCTTTTATCTTAACGTCCGAGAGGTTGCGCAACTAAGATAGTAGCTGTTATTGAAGCAATTCTAAAACTATCCTAATATCAAAAACTCGTGACTCTAAGCTTTAAGGTGGTCAAGAGGTTGCGTCGTTGAAGTTGCTGCTGTCCCGAAAAAAAGTTCTCGGTGGTAAATTACGGTTTGAAAAAAATATGCCGACGTAATGCTATTAGTCATACATCTATTATACTGCTCGTAGCTTTCAGTCTTACGTCTTATCACAAGATAGATCTTGTTATTGATTAATGAAGGAGAGAGCCCTTGACGCGGAGTGAGATCAATTATGGAGATGAGAACTTTGATAAGTAGCTGTTGTGATAAAAATTCCATTATATATCATTCCGCTAAATGAAGAAAAAATGCTGCGATGCCTTTTTAAATCTACTATTCTCTGGGTGTTGGACTCAATTTTGGACTGGATGTTTCTTTATTATTCTCGAGGGTTACTTCTGCATCATATTTTGATTGAGTTATGTCTGATTCACCTTTCATCTTAAAAACCCGCGATCTATTACGAAGCTTTTACCGAGTTCAATGATTTTGTCACTGGAAATATGGATCGATTCAGTAAGAAAGATTGACTTATATGTCAAAGGTGAGTCAGTTGTGTGAGAAGAAGACTGCTTACCACATTATCTAAATAATTCCTGGCAAAAACAATTAAAAATATTCGCACCGAGGCAATCGTTTTTGTCGTAATGACTCGAAAAAGTACATTCGTGTTCCACAAGACGCTGACTAGCTTCGTTGGTGTTTCCATACCATTCGAGTGGGCTCAAGAAAATATTACAGAATTTTTGGTAACATCAAAATCGATTTTGCCACAAGGTCTTCAATCAGATTAAGCAGTGACAGAAATAGTGGTATTCATTAATTTGTACTAAACTTTTCCGCATACAAGCATTTCTAGCTCCCGCAATGTAGCACTAAACTGTCCTTTATTAAGTGCCATGTATCCATCTCTACATGCACGCCACCATGGGCAAGTAAGTCAGCAATGGCGTTTTTATCGAGCGAGCACATCGTGCACCAGACGTTGCACCTTCTTTTCCAGCTTAAGATACTGTACCGCCATGTTGCCTAAATTTAAGTACTGAAGCGTCTCCGTCATCTTTAGACCTTCTGTGATGGGGCCAGGTTTCATTACACATGATGTATGAACCACATCATTATGTGCCTTACATTAACTGTACACATGTGTAGGTCTCTTTTAGTTCTGTTGTGGAAGTACTTAACAGGTGAGGGAGGCTAAAAGTCTATTGGAAATAATAACCCGTCACTTCACCTTTTCTATCAACGGCCCGCGGGAAGCGAGCAACACGCGGTGAGCGTGTTAGTTAACCCAAGCCTCCCTCAGAAAGTTTGATCACACGGAAGGGCACTTCCCGTTACACTTGGTGGCACCAGTAGTCACTCCAACGCCGACGAAGTCGATGGATTCATCGATAGACCACAGGTGGCGGTCGGATCAACAGTGAGAAATATTCGTTTCTAACACACTCCCAGTTGAAGTGTGTGGTTAAGCTGCAAGCTTTAATCGAAGATCATGCGGTCTCCGATATGTTCCTTTTGGATCAAGAAGCGATAACTCAATGCTTAACAAATTTTCCTGCTTACGAGCTAGCTCTAATGGAATTTAAATCGCAAACATACCGTCACCTGGGGGTGACACCATCGGTATACACGGAACGCTCTATCAAGCTCAAAGTGAAAAGTTTGTACGGGAACGAAGATGAAAAAAAACTTGCGTTCTGGCGGACATCGCTATCACGATGGCCTAAACGACCGTAGTCAAGTGGCCTGTGCCATATCTCATTTAGATGGCCGTGCGAAATTGGGCAATGACGTAGAAAGACAGCCTTCCTAGCTACTTTGTCACATGTCAGGAGTTGAAAAAGGTCAAGACAACGGTACATTGTAAAGGGACTAACTTATGACCCTCCCAAGACTGAAGTCTTCCGCAAGAGCCCGGCTACTCTGGAAAATGCAGTTTTGATTGCATTGCGTGAATTAAACTTTGTTACTTAGTTCTTCACACCTGATTTCCTGTGCTCTGCGCAAGTATGGATAACCATATCATCCCAATAGGTTTATTTAGAGTCATAATGTGTCCCGAACAGCCAGCTACGTCGGCAGACAATTGATGTCGCTGGTGCATAAGATACACACTGTGGCATTAACAGCC